CGCTGCATCTCAAACCTGTTGGCTTGCGCCTGCTTCTGTATGACAAAGCTTGGCATGAGGGCACGGGATGAGAACTGATCAAAGAGTGCCCTCCCAACAGACAGACACCTGTAGCTAAAAGCAGTTAACCTAAGGGACAGTTCCTGCTTCACTCCTGACTACCTGTCTCAATTGGCAAAAACTAGATAAAGAAATATAGAGCCACTATATTTCTGTTTAACCTTTCTGGTAAGTGATAGTTTTATCTTAGAACTTAGAAGTTTGTCTTAGAAAGATTTTATAAACTTTTGCTCACGTAGATAGAGTTAATTAAGGGATCTCTAGAAACTTTTTGGGAGATTGTTAACCTAAAATGAACTACCTGTTATTATGTAAATCTCTTACCCCTGGCAACTGATCACTGTACCAATAAATAACCATGTGAAACTTTACTTGGGGCATCACAGCTCATGGGAATGCTGGAGGTCTCCCAATTCCCCCAACTTTATAAAATCTATACTTTATAAAACTGTACTTTCATCTCTGTGTATTCTTTTATTTCTATATACTATTATTTTCTATTAGCAGTGACAGCATAACATTATATCAGAATAACTCCTCCTAATTCAAATTCCTTCTGCTTTAGTGGCATTGAATGGATATTGTCATTCACTGAGCCTTATTGGCGTTATGTACATTTATTTTAAGAAATCATTGGCATTTTTAAAACAGCTACTCTCCTGAGAAATTATAAATGGACCCACTGACACTGTATTTGATTTTGTATTTTTTCATTAATCACCTGATGGCAGATTCAGAATACCCATATTTCAAAGCCATTACTTCTTCCTCAATAATAAGGTATCAGTGATAATGTAATGTAATTACATTACATTAATTACATTCAACTAGTTTTCAGATTGAGTGTATATTCTCTTTTCACTGACTTTTCAATTAATTTATTGCTCTGTATGTGAATACGAAGAATTTCTATAATCAAATAGGACCTTCTGATATTGTTAGATGGGCAGAGTTAATAAAAACTAGAAAGTCCTCAGCTTTTCCAGGCTGTGGACTCTAAATCTATCTTTAAGTCAAGATAAATCCATTGTGTAATTAAATATTATTCCAGCAGATTAAAATTAATTCTCTTTGCAGCAAAGCAGTGAACAAAGAGTATGAAGAGTATGTTTTAACTGTTGGTGATTTTGATGAGAGGATCTTTTTGGGAGCAGATGCAGAAGAAGAAATTGGAACCCCTCGAAAGTTCACTGGTGATACACCATTAGGGAAACTAACAGCACAGGCTAATGTGGAGTATAACCTTCAACAACACTTTGAAAAAGTAATATAACCTAGCCTGGCCTCAGTCTTGAATGATCTTTTCTTCTTTCTGTGTGATTCTACTAACAGCAGAAGCATCTTTCGAGTTAAATCTTGAATTTCTTCTACTAATTCATATTTCCTATGAAAGCCTGAAAAGGTAATTTGTAAAACTATTTTATTTAGTATTTTTACCTCATTTCTTGCTACTATTCATATTTTATATACATTTTCTCAGCATGCCTGGGTTTATTGGTAAATATATTTGTCTTTTGACATAAAGAGGAATTTTTGCTTTCTTACCATTCTTTCTTTGCTTCAACATAGCCTCTGTTAGGTTTCTTTAAAATGTAGTTTGCTTTCCTACCCATGGCACAGACTACATGCTCTTCTCTGACTTCAGCTATATAACTCTGGATTTGATTGTTAATGGCCAAGGCTTAATTTTTTATTTATGTGCAAAATGGGTTGGAGGATGAGGTCTAATGGAAAATTCATTGGTCTAGAAGATAGAAAACCTAAGTTTTAGTCTAAGCACTGCCATCGTCTTTGTCACCTTAAACAGGTTTTTAACTTCTCTGTGCTTGTTTCCTCATGTATAAAATTAAAATGTGTATACGTTACGTATATTTCAAACGAGTTTTGTGAAGATAAGATGAGATTATAGGTAGAAAGTGCTTTCAAAAACTATTATTCAAAAATAAGGATGTTATTAGCATAGTATTGCTAAAAATTTGGTGGATATTCACCAAATATGA